CGGGTTCCGTGACGTTTCCTATTCAGTGCGACGCGACTTTGCGATTACGCGCGGCCTAACAGGCGAGTTCGATAAGACACCGGACCGCGAAGTGTGACGTCCGAGACGGTGATAACGTATCCCGCAGTGCCCGACCCCTGCATCACGGCTCCGAGCGCCAGCAAGTATTCCGCCCCTTCAAGGACCCGAAACCCCGACTGAACCAGCCGCAAGCGTTAATCATTCATCATCATTGGTATGTTAAGATTTAATTGTATATTTTATTTTATTCATTGTTAGAATATATCTTGTTGTTGTTATAAACGAGAGTGATTTCCTATCCCTCCCGTTCCATGTCCTAATTACGTACATCACCGGTAAGTTTAGACAGGGCGTGCTTTAGCACCTTAAAAGAGCCAGGACCCGAAAATATAAATAAAGTAACGACCGCAACGCGGGACGTAACAGTTTCATTATTTTTTTTTCTTCTTCCAAGACAACGTCATTCGCAATATTGTCGATAAGATATCATTTTTATCACAATTTTTACTTAGATAAAATTTTTGCCAAGATGTTTATTAGATAAACAGTTTTGCCCAATTCTGTGCTCAATTCTGCTCATGAGTACTCTGGTCTCTCACCCGGTCCAAAGGAATGGTCCTATTTCGAATAGAATGGTAGTACGTACATATGTATTTTTGTTCGATATTTTTGGAACACCCTGTATATGTATATCACAGGTGGGTAACTGATCGCTCACCTCTGATATATATATACAGCTATAATTAAAACATCTAATTTTTATTTTACTGTTTCAGATCAGAAAAGTAATAAGGAGCTTACTTTTTCGCGACCGCCGTAGTGCCCAGCGCGGGAGCCAGCGCGGGGGCCAGCGCGGGGACCAGCACGGCAGCCAGCGCGAGGGCTGGCGAGGCGGCTGGCGCGGCGACCGGTGTGGAGGGCGGCGCGGTGGCCGGCGCGGTAACAGGCCATTTTATATTAATTATTATATCCAATAAATATTAAAAACATAAAAATCGTTTTTTTCAAATTACCATCCTTTCTTATATACATATTATATATTCAATTGTAATGAGTTGTGTAATAATGTGTAAGAAAATGTTGGACAAAACACGCAATTCGTCGGAATACAGAAACAAAAATAGTAACAGATACTTTTTTCAACTTTTTTATGTGAGCCTATAATGAACATTTGAAACATTTGAAATTTGAACAACTTATACCCTACAATTTTCAGCGTGTATGTATCTTAATTAAGTGTATAAGAGGTATTTGTTAAATTTTCACTATAGGATCAGAAAAAAAATAAACAAAGGACTTCTTCATATTTTTACTATTTTCTTCGCTATTCCAACAATTGTCATTTTTTTGAAATAACGAAAACATGTCATCTACTAAGTTAATCCTTCTAGCTTCTCAAAAAAACTCAAGTCGTTTGGTCCAATTTTTAAAAAAAAGTACGTAGTGGAACAGGTGCGGACGCAGCGAAGTTGATACGCTAAGTACGCATGCGACAGCAATCAGTTGTTAGTACAAAATCTATCTCCGGTGGGCGACGAATGAAAGATTGACAGAGCGTATGCGATTAATTGTGTTCCTTTTGTGTCTCTTTTATGAAATATTTGTGTAAGTATATAACACCTGCGTCAATTATGTCAATAAAAAATAAATAAATATCATTTCCAACAAGAGATTTGTATAGTATTCCATGTTTTTCGTATGTTGAATACCCGGAATATATATTGTGCCATTCTTACAATTTCTTTCTCAAGAATATCATGTCAAGTATCTCGTATGTAATTTCATTAATTAAAAAAATAAGCATCATTGCAAGTACGAATAAGAAGATTCATCCTTGCACACATTAGTACGTATTGTTTAATTCTCAGATTTCTTTCCCTCGCGCCATTCTTTTCCTCCGTTCGGCGTGAATCGAATCTCGCCACGAGCCGTAGGCCGTAGGTGTTCCATCGTTCTCCTGATGGGCAGAATTGTCATGTGGCAACAGCGTAACAAAACAATCGATATGATCCACCACGTGTTGCGAGGTTACATTTACCGACTCCCTCTGTTTTATCGATGCTCGTGGTAACACAGGCCAAAGTGACTGACAAATACCATAAACACCTCTAGCGGAGAATCCTTGAACTATACCACTGTTTATTTTGCGTCTGGACGCGTCAAATCGTAGGAACCAAAATGTGCCTTCCAGAAGTGATAAAGTGACTCAAATCGAATTTCCACGATAGTGTGATAGTGGTGTACAAGGTGGTCTGCTCTACTTTTGACGAGAAAACCATTAAATCGTGAAATATTTGACAAAATGTGACTTGTGCAGCCATCTTGTGTGTTTTCATCGGCGTCTGTCACAATCGCACATTTTCTAAAATTCTAATTCTTTCAATTAGAATGTGTTTATTGGCGTTTATACGGACCAGACCACCCTGTAGGGAAGTCTACCCGTGAGTTCTGTACCCGTGAAAAGTGCATTTGTGCAATTGTCGAGGCTCATTTTGGTTCCTACGAAATCGAATGTCTCTCTTGTGCATCGCATATACATACACGGTTGCCGTTGATTGTGTGAGTGCATGGACACAGCGAACGGGCAAGTGATGCCAGAATCGTGGATTTTCGCGCGAGCGCATACCCTCTCCATGCCTCCCGTAGGTATTCTACACATGCATATTCTAGCCTGCCGTGTGAGCTCTGCCCCCACTACGTCCTACTCGGCGACTCACCAACACAAGCGTTTTCTACCTCTATCCGTGTGCGCTCTGCTTCGGGTGTTCTCGGCAAAAGTCCACGTCACGCGTTTACGACGCGACGGCCGAGTGGCCCAAGCCAGGTCAAAATTCCCAAATCCCAAGCAACCTAAAATTTACGTCCTGAACGCGGAGAGCTGCATGATTTCTCTCACACGTTCATGATGAAGACCCCGTTCGAAACCCCGTTCAAATCCCGATGCGACGGTTTTACATTTTATTTTTAATTATTGCATAATTTCATTTTGTAATATGTCAGTAAAATAAAAACTTCGAAGATATTGATTTAAGAAGCATTTTACAAAAATGGGAGATGTATTTATTACTCTTTAATATTTAAATTTTATATTACACAAATACATATTCTCTTATGTATACACAAATTATTCGTACAATTAGATGTTACCTTCATTCTAAGTATTACAGTACATACATATGAAAACATTGGAAGAAAAATCCATCACATTAATATGTTACGTACAGTAAAATGAAAGCTTGGAAGATATTAATTTCAGAAACGCTTCATTGTCATATTCGGTAGTAGTACTATTATTCCAATTGCGGTTTAAACTATGTGCATATGTACTTCTTTTCAGATATAGAAAAGTAAAGGACCGACGCCGAGAGCAGAATGATTTCTCTCACACGCTCGTTCATGATGAAGAGCCTGTTCGTATCCCGATGCGACCGTTTTAGTTTTTATTTTTAATTATTGTATAATTTCACTTTGTAATATGTCAGTAAAATAACAGCTTCGAAGATATTAATTTGAGAAGCATTTTCAAAATTCGATTTTTGTATTAATGATATATTTCGCGTTTCTGAGAACCGTTGCAGTAGGTCCACGCACATGTGATGTTAGTAGTCCTTTACTTTTCTATGTCTGAAAAGAAGTATACACATAGTGTGAACCGCAATTGGAATAATAGTACTACTACCGAATATGACCATGACGCGCGTATATGAGCAGGTACTTAGGGTGAGACGTATCTGACCGCAACGCGGGCAACCCTATCGTAAATGGAGGCAATAACGAGACTGCACGGTGGCTCATTGTAACACATAATTTGGAAATGTCTTTATTACCGGAAAGTAGGACGGTATTGAATTCTTAGAAACCATTTTAACGTAAAGGGACTTTGAATTAGGTGCAATTATACGCGCGCCGAATACATTATTGTCCGATTATTTCAAAAGGGTTTGTTAGGAATTTCCCAGATTTTGAAAGAAGCATTTTAGCCGCCCAAAGAAATTAATATACCGTGAGTAAAGAAAGTCCATATTGAGGACGGAATACTTGTGACATTATTTACAGGACAAAAAGAAAAGACGATGTGTTGTATGTACATGCATATTATCCATGCTCACCGACATCAAATCAACAAAATGCATATGCGTGGACCAGCTTAACAAAAAAATCTGATTTTGAAAATGCTTCTCAAATTAATATCTTCCAAGCTTTCATTTTACTGTACGTAACATATTAATGTGATGGATTTTTCTTCCAATGTTTTCATATGTATGTACTGTAATACTTAGAATAAAGGTAACATCTAATTGTACGAATAATTTGTGTATACATAAGAGAATATGTATTTGTGTAATATAAAATTTAAATATTGAAGAGGAATAAATACATCTCCCATTTTTGTAAAATGCTTCTTAAATCAATATCTTCGAAGTTTTTATTTTACTGACATATTACAAAATGAGATTATGCAATAATTAAAAATAAAATGTAAAACCGTCGCATCGGGATTCGAACGGGGTTTCAGACGGGGTCTTCATCATGAACGCGTGAGAGAAATCATGCAGCTCTCCGCGTTTAGGACGTAAATTTTAGGTTGCTTGGGATTTGGGATTTTTGACCTGGCTTGGGCTACTCGGCCGTCGCGTCGTTAACGCGTGACGTAGACTTTTGCCGAGAAAACACCCGAAGCAGAGCGCACACGGATAGAGGTAGAAAACGCTTGGGTTGGTGAGTCGCCGAGTAGGACGTAGTGGGGGCAGAGCTCACACGGCAGGCTAGAATATGCATGCGTAGAATACCTACGGGAGGCATGGAGAGGGTATGCGCTCGCGCGAAAATCCCACGATTTTGGCATCAGTGGATTCATTGAGTGGTTTTCGTCTTGCATGCAACGCGGAATTACTGTACAGTGTTGTATCAAAAAACCATTTCAAATAATTATATACATATATGTCATCAGGGTTATAATTTTTCAGCAAGAAATTGAAATTATGAACTTATTACCAAAAACGCATGAAGAATTTAGTCAGGTTGAGTACTGGAACACGTTTTTTAAGAAACGTGGTAAAAAAAACTTTGAATGGTACGTATTATATATGTTTATAACTACTCGGTAAACTTAATTTGTAAAAAATACAGTATTTCCGTTTCTATTTAGGTATGGAGAATACCCAGAATTATGCAGTATACTCATAAAATACATAAGAATAAAAGATAATGTTTTAATTGTTGGTTGTGGTAATTCAACAGTTAGTATGTGTTTATACGATGCTGGTTACAGGTAAAATATATATTAAATGAACATATACTATTAGATATATCATGAACGTTTAATATTAATCAAGCATCAAATTCTATTTTTTTTTCACCTTGTTTAAACATGATGGTTGATTATTAATTTTCTTTTCTGTTGCATTATTTAAAAGCAGAACTTTCAAAACTCTAATATTAGGAACTGTTACTATTAATGGTCTGAATGGCCAAGGTAACAATAATTTCTTATTATCAAATTGTAGAATAAAGTAAAAACTTTAATAGAGATTCAAGCAGAGATGGGAAAATTCATTATCTAGATAAAAAGTTTGAATAATAAAGTTAAGATAAGTTAAAATAAGAGTGTAAATAATGAATAAACGATAAAAAAAAGTGGCATTTTTAACCAATTAATGATGGAACTTTCACTTTTTATAATAAAATAATACTTCTTTTTGAATGTATAGACACTTAGCAAACAATTATTTAGTCTCATTAACTGATTATACGTCAGGATGATGCTCTTCGATACTGCTACTTTTTACTATGTATTATTCAAATAAAATTCTGCCCAACTCTGGATTAACGTAGTAAGATTATATTCAATTTCTGTCTTCATAGCCCAGACCATAAATTATAAATTTGTATATAGATCTACAACTTACTTATAATATTCGTGGATACATAGTACCGAATTTTATATGGAATAATAAATTACTTTTAAATAAATTATTTATTGCTCGTGCGCGCGCATGTATATATGTGTGTGTGTGTGTGTGTGTTTTTGTTTGGGAAGATAGGCGGAAAATCTTTCAAAGATTCCAGGAGCCCGTGCTCTGTGGGTTGTGGTGAGATTTTCACCCACTACAAACCGCCTTCCTTGGTACATTCTCCTTACTGTGTGTCTCGTGGAACCGCCGTCATGCATTACTTCGCGTGCAGGATTGCTATTGCAGTAGCATCTTTCGAGCTACCCTATAGCGCGATTTCTGTTCCTTCCTTTAGGACGTAGTTGTTTGAGAACGATTACCGCATACGCATCGACTCGTTCCATGCTTCTTCGGTGTCCAGTCTTCTGAAACGACATTGATACGCCCTGAAGCAACCATGTCCAGACAGCATCTACGAGAGGTAGTAGCCAACTTCGCCGTGTTGTCGACGCAGCCATGGATTTAGCACGGGGATCAGATGGTGGGTCCATCTTACACGTCCAAAAATAATTTCGGGCGCGCCTTAATTGTTGTCTTTAAAGCGATGTTCGAGATGGCGTCAGGCCCAGGTGCCTTCCTATCTCCTATTTTCCTACAGGCCTTAACTCCTGATTGATGACAAATGATGTGTACTCCTTACCTCCTGACACTGGTTCCAAGGCGCCATAGATAGTTTCTAGCTGCCGTGGAAATAGGGTAGCGAGTATCTTGCGCAGAAGATTCGGGCAGGTCGGCGATGGTATGGTAGGACTTTTCAGCCTAGCCGTGACCGTGTGATACGGCCTGCCCCAAAAGTTGCTGTTCACACCTCGCTGCACAAATTCTTCCAGCCTTGGCGCTTGCTCGCCTTTATGGCGTGAACCAGCAACCTCTTCACCGCTTTATGCTGTTGTAGGCGTTGCTGATGTTGGTGTTTACCCTTCGCGCGTTGATGGAACCTTCTAGAATGTCGACATTTCTTCCAAAGTATGTGTGTGCGCGCGCGTGCGTTTGTGTGTAACTTTGTTTGTAAAGGAAATTACATAATTTAAAATATATAACATTTTATAAATCCAGTTATGTTGAAATACATCTGTGCATAAAATTTAAGTATAATATAAATGTAAATATTCTTTTAATTATAGAAATATTACTAACATTGATATATCACATATTGTTATTAAACAAATGCATGACATTAACGCATCAGTGAGACCTGATTTAATTTATGAACAAATGGATGCTACACAAATGACATATCCAAATGAAACATTTAGTGTTATTTTGGATAAAGGTACTTTAGATGCTCTTATGCCAGATACTAAGGAAGGAACAATGGTAACAGTTAATAAATATTTTAAAGTAAGTGCATATATTATATGTTTAACATGTTTTATAACCATATATTGGTGGTCCACCATAAACTTTCTGTGTTGATAATTTTTATTATTATGATACACTTTTTACATTGCACTTTTTTATTTATGAAATTAATATTTCCATTATTATAAATATCATCATATGGTTTACGTTACAAACAGTTATAACATATGCTGTTCTGGGCTATCAATGATCTGTGTAGCATAAATGGAAAGTCACGCAAAAAGTTTGAGGATGGAATAAAACGAATGAAATAAATAATTAACTTTTTTTTATTCTATGTATATTGTGTATCATATAACATATTTTCATTACTTCAGGAAATCACAAGAGTTCTACGTAATGGTGGCAGATACATTTGTATTTCTTTACTACAAGAGCACATTTTGAGGGAACTTTTGTCTTATTTTCCAAGCGTTGGATTTATGTTTCGTATAATACGGTGCCATGAGGCAGAAGCAAAAGCACGAGTAGAAGAAGGTAGCTTGATTCCAGTTTTTGTGGTGGTTGCTACAAAATTTACAAATTTATCACAAGCAGTATGTATTATGATCTATCATGGTATTGAACAAAATTGATTCAAAATATAAAGGCTTGTACTGTTGCTAATATATATGTAATAAGTGTATACTTGTTAGTAAGTTTGAATGAATTCATTATGTCTTTTTGTTACACAATTAGTATCTAGTAAATTGATCCTCAAGAACATATTCTTCATAATATAGTCCTAAGTTCATGCACAAAAGGATAAGATGTAACAGAGAATTTGTTTGTTTGTAAAAAAAATTATCATATGAAAATTAAAATAAGTAATTCAAGCTATTTGATAATTAATCAAATTTATTTGTCTTATTGGCCATTATAATTATTTTTTTAAAGTATAATATTTATAATTGTAATAGGTTTTAGAAGTAGCATTAGTTGATGGTCCTCTGAAGCGACTGTCAACATCAAATGATATGATATCTGCTGTACTTTCAACACAACAGTCAGCTTTAATATGTAATAATCTTCAAAAACGAAGTGTAGCTGATATAGGAGAAATATCGTTAGACTTGCATCGTCCTGACGATAATCATCCACGTTATACAGTTTATGTTTTGGATAAGCCTAAAATGCAGGGAAGAAAAACGTATGCAGCATTTATAGTACCACAAGGAAAGTAAGTTTATGTTTCATGTTCTTTTTACATTATTATTTAAAATAAATAAACGTTCACCAACAATACATGTGTACATGTAAGAGAGTTTGTATTTTTTCATTTTACTAGAGAAACAGATTGGTTATTTAGCACAAAAGAAGGAAGACATCAAGTGCTTAAAAGTGCGCAACGAGATAGACTTGCAATTGTTACTCTACGCAGAGAACATAAATTTGAGAATTGGGATGCTGTAAAAATTGAATTGGAAGATTGTATTCTGAATTTAGCTCCAGAAGGTTTATCTGGCAAAAATGATATTCCATTTTTATCTTTAGGATCTGATGTTGGGGTGAGAATTACATGTTATGAGGGAAAAAGCGAGCTTAGCGGCGCTTTTGTTGTCGAAGAAGTGGAAAGGGATGGTTATGAATTTAGAAGACTAGTATTTTTAAGTAACCCTTATGTTATCCAAAGTGAAGCGCGACTTAAGCAGGGTACTGAATTTTATTACTGTAAATACTCCATTAATAACTTTAATAACTTGTTTAGTCAATGAGTGATCTTTTTTAGCTAAATCTAGACGTGGTAGAATAAAGAAAGTTATTGACTCTGGTTTCCTAGCTTGTGATCATCATTTATACATGAGTATTGGTGTCATTGCTGCAATAAATCCTAAAGAATGTGATGAGATAATGATCATAGGACTAGGTGGAGGAAGTTTATGTACATTTTTGTACAATTGTTTTCTTAAAGTACGAACACAATATTTGAAACTTTGTTGTCACATAATGGCAAAATTAAAAATATTAAATATATGTAAAATATATTTTTTTTTTTTGCAGTTGAAAATTGTTGCTGTTGAAATTGATGAAGCTATGTTAAAAGTTGCTACTGATTATTTCGGTCTTCCTGTTGACACTAGAATGAAAGTTGAAATTGCTGATGGAATTCAATTCATCAAAGAAAATGCAATGTCTGGAAAGAAATTTAAGGCTGTACTTTTTGATGTAGACAGCAAAGATACTACAGTTGGGATGAGTTGTCCGCCTAAACAGTTTTTAGAAATGCCAATTATAAAATCCGTTTCAGAATGTTTATCGAATGATGGTCTTTTTATATTGAATTTAGTTAGTCGAGATCAGAGCATCAAGAAAAAAGTGAAGAATGATCTAAAATCTATATTTAAATGTATAGCATGCTACTCTGTGCAAGACGAAGTAAATGAAATTGTTATATGTTCCATAAATGAAAATGATACTTCTGAATGGGCAAATAAATTAGAAGTAGCTGCCACAACTTTAAACGAACAAGTGTCTGCAAGAAAATTATTGAGTAATACAGATATATTTGACTTATCATCTTTTATGCAGAATCTATCTGTACATTCATAATTAAAAAGTCTATCATTAACGTTTATAATAGACAAGGGGTTCTACTTTTACATTATGTCACCAGTTTCCCTATTTCCCTCAGTCCTTCAAAGAAATAAGGGAGAGTGAGCTAGTCCGTAGGTATACGAGATATGAATCTCGATTAACCGAGTGTCGTTGATTTCGTTACAATTAAATAACTATGTAATCAAAACTACAAGCTTTAATAACTGTACACAATGATATATTCAGGAAACTCTCCTGTATCTTTTACGGCTAAATTAAATTTCTTAGCATGTTTGTACTGTTACGACGCATTTTGCGCCGTGCCCCTTCCCGCCCGAAGTTTGACTCGGGCGCGGAAGACCGAGAACCGGACCGCCCCTCCGCCGCTCCCTGCCCGCACGAAATAATATTGAAGCGCTTCTGGAGGATTTGTAGGGGAAATACTGCCGTTAGAATCTGTACTAACCACGTGGTAATCTCGCGCCGAGTACCGCTCGCGATTACAGGGCCGTCACGATAGGGGTCGAGGCAAGGCGAAGGACGCAATATCGCCCGTACCCACCGACTCTGCTGCAGGGAACGCCCCGGAATCCCGTCGAGCGGCCGCTCGACCGGATAAGGGGGATAGGACAGGAGGAAAAGGGCCTGCCCTCGCATCGAGCCTGGGCTTCGAGAGGCGCTTGGTCGGCCGAGGGGGCACCACGAAACCACCCACCGGATAAGGATCGGCGACCCGGACGTCTTCCTCCGCAGAAGGACCCCACGATGGAGGAGTCAGGGGGCAGGAAACCCGTGAGGAGTCGCAGCAACCACGTAGGAGGGTGTCAGACTGGACTCCTCACACAAGGGGAGCGATCTCCATGGCCAGGGGATCCTTCCTTCGCGTGTCGTCCCTGGGCCGAAGGAGTTTGGCTCCGCAGGAGTCACGGGGGGTACGAGGGGCAATAGGACTGCTTAGTGGGGGGGCCCGCTGGATCCTCGCGTCGCGTAACGAGCCCCGAAATCGTCACTTGAGTGGCCCGTATTACCGTGTAAGGTTGCCGTTTGTGTGTCGCGCGTGTATAGGAACCCGGAAGGGAGCGAGACCGCCCGGAGAAATATCGCCATCTGTAAGTGAGCTCTCTCTTCTGTTCTCGTACGGCAATCTAGATCTCGTTTGCCCGATTATGTCGCGATCGAACAATTAATATCGTATCTCGCTAACGCGCGCGGGAGAACCACGGCGGTTCATCGGGAATAATAATATCGAACATTCCGGGCAGCTTTCCTCCAGGACGCAAAAGCAACGCGCCTGCCGCTCAAGTCAGTGTATCCCATTGTGTTATCGGCGGTATCGTAGTACCGTCCGACCGCGCCTCTGTAACTTTCGTAAGAGACATCTCGAGCGGTCGGAGGCCGCGTAATAGCGAAAAGTAGAATCTCGTACCGGAATCCGGTGATATCGAAGGCGCGGGCCGCGACGGAAAATGGGCGCCCGGAAAACGGTCGGAGGGACTCGCGGGGACGCGAACGTAGGCGTGGACCGGGGGGAAAGTACTTTGTTCGTGCCGTGTGCCGGCCGCGCGACCGGCCGAAATCTCGGGCAACATAACAGTACATATATATGTTTATTTAAATTCGACCTTACGGTCAAGGAATGGTACTTGGTTTACAGCTTTTATTTATATATTCATAGTCATCTTCTAATCATTCACACTTCCATTCTTAGCTCTTCATTCTATATCTTGTTACTAATATCCTAACATTGCTATTCTGTACTAACGAATCTATTTTCTTGTTCCTCGCACTAACCTGTCTATTGCATTGTTACGAGCCAGGGCTAAGCGGTTGCGAAAGCCGAGGAAATGGCGAGTTTGTTTTTTTAAAGTTTGTTATGTGGACGAACCTGTGCCTATTTCATCACAGGGAGCCACTGGGATAGGTTGTCGTGGACAAACCCGAGCCTATTTCATCTCAGGGAGCCACTAGGATTGTTAGTATAGGCCTCGTAACTTTTAAGAATTCGGTACACTTCGAGCGGTAAAAGTGTGCCTTTGTGGGTTCGCTTCTAGCTGGGAATTTAGATGTTATTCTAGAGTTGAAATGAACAACACTGAATTATAAATATATGAAGGTATAAAAGTATATTCAATACAGTAAAGGTTTTACAAATGGTACTGTAAAGTGTAGTCGCGGAAGCTAATTCCAACGTTCTCGGTTTTCACGTACTGAGAAATGCGGGGATTTGTTATGCAGAGTTTAGCTTACTTTTAGAAATGCTTGATAAGGACTTTAATACCCGATCTCACTACCTAGACTTCTAATATGAGTATGATCCAGGGATGAGCTGTATGTGTATCTTTTTATATCCCAAAAATCGTGTCTAAAAGTAGTGGGGGACATGCCTATTCTCCACGGAAACTGTTTTCCAAGAAAACCTGGCAACGCAAATTACACCCCGCGGGCAATTACGGAATCTGGCCGGATGCATTCCAACTCCCGATAAGGTTAAGAAGTCACGAAAGTGTCTTCGTACGTAACAGCATCTATTTATTCTTTGGTCTCCTTTTCCTTGTTTCCCTCCCTGTCTTTATCCTTTCTTAGTCTATCTATGAACATAGTTATTTAGTTAGTTAGTTAGGAACAGTACTCCTGGGAGAGGGAATTTCGGTATACCCTTCAAGGCCTTAGACGCACTAGCTTTCGCAGAGTCCCGTAAATGAGATTAGGGTAGGCATTACCCGGGGAGCTTTTAACCCCCGACTCTTTCCACCCGTCCCAACTTTTTTAGGCCCAGGCCACATGGAGGGCTCAAGTGTACTTTTCAGGAGGCGGAGAATCATTAGAATCCGCATCCTCCATCTCCAAAAAGGTGGGTACCAGCTTATTCTTATCTTCACCCACAGGCCGGGCCTGTACAAATGGGGGTTTCGTCGTTCGTACGTCCTGCAAAGAGAGAGCCAGATCATCTATTTCAACCCCTTAACATGACTGTCTCTGTCCCGAATAATTCAGGAACTCCCCCTCCTCTGGTTACCCATTGTCAAAATTGCCACCCCCCATCAAGGACAAGGAGGGAGTCCCGGACCCTTTAGTTAACTTGTACGTTTCGATCGAAGGTTCGTTACGAATAGACGGAGACAGAGGCTCGTCGCGGGCAATTAGTTAGTTAATCACATAAAAAGTGTGTGAGCGGTCCTGTAGGCACCTCGCACAGCAACGGCCCCTTTGGCTGCCAGACAAAGACCTGGCAGGGAAGGACGGCGTTGTAACTATGCGAAGCGACCCACAGGTGTCGGCACTATGATTACCCGCGACGAAACTCCTTGTCTTCGGCGACGATTGCCGAATTCGGCACGACAACCGTCGAACCTCGCGGTGAGCCGCGCGATACAAGCTCGCCGCGACGACGCTGGCTTCTCGGCACACATGACGTCATGCCGCGGCCCAGCCAATCCTGAACATTCCGCCCGCCGCGGCTCATGTTGACGAAATAACTTGAATGAATTCGGTGGTGTGAATCGGCTGGTACGCGACAGACGCCATTACACACGCGAGTGCTGTGAGGTAATAGTGAGAGTGAATTTAAAGTGTCGCATACAGTGCATTTCTAGCTTACGGTAAGCATGGACTTAATATTAGTGACAAATACACGTGAACATGATAATTATATACAAAGAGTTGCTGTTAAAGAACAGTCGACGTCTATGGTAATAGCGCTAAGAGCCACGTGGCGGATCCGGTAGCGGTAGTGGCTCCGAGTTTACGAAGGGCAGAAGAATAAGTTTGGTGATCGGTCTGATGAGTTTTGTTGTAGCGGTTTTGAGTGTGAATACTCTAGTCAAGCTATCGGGTCCAGGAGAGGCTTTGATCACTCGTGCAAGTGGCTATTTAGTGGGGGCTATAACTCGGATTTAATGAGACACAGGTCTCCCTCCTGAGGAGAAGCTACAGGTTTCTGCCACTTATTCCATATCTGCAGGGTATTCAGGTAATCTACGGACCACCGTCACCAGAAGTGCTGCTGCATTTGTTGGAGTTATTGCCAACGCGAGAGTCGTGACCACGTGACATCTTCAAGACTCGGTTCCGGAATAGTGAGTAGCGGTTCGACGATGAGGAAATGGCCCGGCGTTAGTGCGTTGGCGTCCTCTTGGTCTTCGGTCAAGGTCATTGCAGTGGTCGCAAGTCGAGATAAGCCTCAATACCAGTGAGAAGAGTGGTCAATTCCTCGAAGGTAAGTTTTTGCTCGCCAATGACCCGTCGGAGATGGTGCTTTACCGATTTCACGGCGGCTTCCCATATACCACCGAAGTGAGCGGTAGACGGGGGATTCAATCTTCATTCAATGCCCTCCTTAGCGATAGCGGAGGGGATGCCACCGCGAACATCGTAAACATGCCGCAGTAAATCGCGTAGTTCGCGGTTCGCGGTTCGCGTCTACAAATACAGCGCCCCAATCGCTATATATTTCTTTGCATCGGCCCCGACGTACTGTAAATCTTTTCAGCGCTGCTATAAACGCTTCCGTTGTGCCGTTTGATACAACTTCATCGTGGACCGCTCAAGTGGACCGACATACAAAGAGTTCAATATACCCCTTAAACGAGTGCTGACCACGCCCCCGACTCGCCAGAATGGATATTGGCCCGGCATAATTGACCCCGACGCGTAGGAACGGTCGCCCCGGAAGGACACGTGCGGGGGGAAGATCTCCCTTTCTTTGTTGGGCAACGGTGCCACGCAAACGTACGCAGGTGAGACAATTTTTTATACGCTTTTGAACTAAGCACCGAGCGCGCAAAATCCAGCAGGATTGACGTAACGTACCTAACGTTAATTGTACTCCCCCGTGCAGAGACCTCTGGTGCGTATCATCGACCTACAGGGCGGCCAAAGGTGAATCTGTTGGTAATATCGCTGGATGTTTCTTTGTGTAGGCCAGATCCGTATAATGAAGCCGCCCGCCAACACGCAGGATGTCATCCGCGTCGAAGTACGGGTTTAATGTAAGAAGTCGACTCTTGGCCTCGAGGGGAAGCTTCGACTGCAGACAAG